ACTCAGAAGGGCAGTGTTCGATCTTGCAACTGTTGGTTGCAAAGAAATGCACAAAAGGCGTCTTGCCAAACTCGAGGAAATCAAGGACAGAGCATCCTATCGTCAGGTGCAGGAAGGGCACCCCATCACCAAGGGAAAGAGGTTAGCTTTGTTCAGGGAGCTTTTGGTTGAGTCAGGTTTCCCCGACTTGAGTGTGTGTGACTTCATGGAAGAGGGTGTCAGCTTGGTGGGCGCAGAGCCCGATTCCCCTCTCTTCAGCATAAGGCCTAAACCAATGACCGTGACCCCTGAGCAGCTTGATTCGCAGTCCGTATGGCGCAGAAGGGCGCTTTTATCGTCCCCGCCTCAGCAATTGGAGCCTGAAGAGCTCATGATGCTCAATGATGAGACAGAAGCTGAGTGCAAGGCTGGCTTCCTCGAGGGCCCCTTTGGCTCCGAAGCAGAAGTGTCATCTCGCCTCGGCACAGATCAGTGGTCTCCTAGTCAAAGCATCACCACTTTGGGGGTTGACGGCGCAAATGTAAGCAAGGCGACCAAAACTGTTGATACCGGCACCAACAAGACTGTTCACGAAAGCTGCTTCCATGCCCACGGCCAGCGCTCTGTCGGTGAAGCTGGCTTCGGACTCAAGCATGGTGGACGACATGGCGTTCAGGCTAGCAGCTTGCAGGACAAAAGAGTGGCCCCTGAGAGCCTTGCATAGGTCGACGCGTCATTGTTCGTGGCATACAACACGAAGCATGGAAAGTGCACAACAGGACATGCATGTACATCGGAACATCTCAGTAGATGGCAAATCAGCACGTGCATGTTTTGATCACCTGCGGGCAAACCAGTAAGACACATGGAATTGCTGACTCTCCAGGCAAAGATGAACTCGAAGGTACAGCTTGTCTAGAATCATTGCATGGCGGAGTCAGTGGATAGGGCGAAGAAAAGAAAAGCAACCCTAGACTGCAAAATCACATGAAAACGTGGTCATACTGACTCTCCCAGGCTTCGCGTGCCCCGGCACTGTTCGCACAGGATGAAGTCACGCGGCTCATGGGGGTCATAAGAAATGGCATAGTAGTTTTGACTGAGAGGCCTCCCGCACTTGAGAGTAGCGGGGCTCGCAGAAACAGCATGTACAATGGATGAAATGCAACGCTGGACATATTTCCCGATCTCTGGTTCTTTCAGCCCGTCAGTAGAAGCTGGCACCAGGCAGGATTGGTGTTGGAGATCATCATGGTCTTCGAGGTCAACGTCAGAAACCTCGGACTCGTCAAAGCGTTGAAGTGCTTTGGCTGCATCCTCGCGCGTCAAGTCCGCGGCAATTTGCGCCACACGGCTGGCACGACTGGCATCAGGGTCGAAGTCGCCCTGGCGGATTTGGTGGACGAGGTGTTGCAACTTGCCGAGTACTGGGGCCATCACATCGCGGCCATAGGTGACTGGCATTGCCTCGCCAGGCCCCACATGATGACCGAGCACACGCTTCTCGGCATCGGTGAAGTGATTCGATTTGGTAGCCCACGACAAGGGCGTGGCCTTGAGGCTATGCGTCGTGTAAAGTTTGATGTCTTGGAAGTCAGGATGTCTAGAGGCTAAGATTTCCTGCAACCAGGCACCACCTTCAGCAGCCGTCATATGCCTCTCAAGAAAGCATTCAGCCATCTCATCACAGGCTGGCATCAACAAGTGCTCGTCTTCGAGGCCAGCGATCCGACGTGACTTCAGCCACGCTTCAGCCCATGGCTGACTACTGAAGGTATGCCCTAGAGCAATCAGGGGCATCAATGTGCGCCGATCAGCCTGTTTCTTCGCGGTTTTGTGCCCGAGCATCAGAGCCTCGATCAAGAACACAGATCCCGAAACATCAATAGACAAGCTTCGAGCCTTGGCGGCGTCGCTCCATCGAGCGCAAGAAAAGAGGCAAAAAAGGCAGAACCCAGCGATGATGGAGTGGATCACCGATCCATCGAAGACTGCCTTCTCGAGGGATTTTACTAGCCAAACTTTCAGTGCTGGGGCCTGCTGCAAGGGCCGTTTCTCCATGTAGCAGTTGTGGGCACCTCCTTCGACACGAGGAGAAATGCAATCAGTGCTGTTGGTCACAGCGGTGAAGTGCATAAACCTCCAAGACGACACAAAGGCCCCTGCAGCAGTAGGCGCGGCCTTTTGATCACGAAGATGACAGATATAGTCATACATATGCTGCTCGGTGGGGGCTAACGGGCGACCTCCGTTGGATTGCACCTGCCAAACAGAGAAGCGCATGAAGTCACACGAGCGCTTGCACAAGGTAGCCGTTGCTTTGCTTGCATATACGTCAGACAAGATAGATGCAAGCTTCGGTGCCGGGATGATGCACCCACTAGCCTCCAGTAAGGAACGACCTAGCTTGGAGTCGCTAGGTTCGAAGAGGATAATGTTGCGCAATCTAGTCAAGGCAGCGAGACGCAGCTGATCGTCGGACTTGGCCATCCTGGTGGCATAAAGGCGCTTGGCTCTCTGCTGATTTTGCACAACCCATTCACAAAGAAAATTTGACGCTCTAACAAATTTGATAGGCCAGAGCTGTACTGGCTTCAGCGGCAAGCTCAAAGTCAACATGCATCAAGGGTAAATCCAAAGCATGAAAATCGATGTGCAGCATGTACAAGAAAATAACAAGACTGCCGGCAAGAGGTGCGGGGCACAAGAGATGGTCAAGCTCAGAAGAGGTGAGTTTTTGTGTACTTTCACTTTTGACAGTCGGTTGCGCTCCGTTCCTACGCCAACCCCAGTAGACTGCGGCACCTGCGAGCAGGCACCCAACTTACAAATCAGGGCTTCGGGGAGCTAGTACTCCAGCCCAAACATTGGGATCCGATCATCTGGGCTCAAAGAGCTACAGTACACAGCTGCCAACGCACACTGGACGGTGTGAAGTGCTTGCTTTTCTCGCCACACGCCCCCAGGCAACACGTGGCTCATAGTCGTGGATGCAAGGGCCCATTTGTCACTGGCCTCTCATGGTGGCTGAAGTCTTTCTAGGCGCGGCCGGTGCACAAAAGCAAGTTTGCAATTGGTACTGACCATGCATACCCCCAGGTGGTAAATCTAGCGAGCTGTGTCCCTTCCTTGCTGTGTGCCTGTGGCGCTGTCACATGGTTTCCGGATCTTTGATGGCTGAGCCAAGATGGCTGAGCCAAGGCTGAGCCAAGATGGCTGAGCCAATCTGCCAGTAGGCTCGTCGAATGCAGAGTAAAGAACCCCCGCTTCATGCTGGAGCGAAGCCGTTGCAATGTCCGCGGCCGAGCTACCAGCTCATCACTGCACTTCTCTTTCTGCGACATGCCTGACTTCCGACGTTTCACGGCTCGTGGAAAGCGACGGTCTCGATGCCCTCCTGCATAGTCAAGCCTGCTGCCGACTTGGCCTTCTTGAAACCTTTTGCATCCGTGAGAATTCGGTGCAGCCGTCAGGCTCGTCGCTCAGTCTACGCAGTATGCACGGGAGTGGAGAGCAGGTGCATGCATGCATGTTCTTCAAGGTAGATCGAGGGACGCCGCAGCAGCATGTCCCGGCATCACAGCAGCACTTTGCACATGATATCACATGATACTTTCTGAGACCACCAAAGCCTGTCTGCCTTGTGCGCAAATTTCCGTGCAGAAAGCGGGCGCTATGGCCGCTATGGCCACTCGCAGGGGCGGCTTGGTTGATATCAGCCATGAAGGTGGACGTGTTTTGGTTTACCCGGGCTGAAGATGGCTGAAAGCAGATCAGCGTGCAGGTTAGGGTGGCGTCGCGTTCCACCAGCTGGGGCCTCAGCTGTACTGCGCGTGTCACGTGGAAAAAAACTCCAATTACTCCGGCGGCTCTGTGAGGCCCGGTGCGTTGCAACCCCCAATAGTGGGCCCCGCGACCTTGCGCATCGTCGTAGAGCCCCTAATAGCCCCTAAACCTTATGCTCCTGATACTTGCCAGGTGTTTGAGACTGCAGAGTATGCACGGCCTAAGATATCTAGTCCGTTGGCTCGTCCTCAGCTTTGAGGACTTAAAGCCGCAAGAATCGTTGATCTCCCTGGGGGGCATGTCTTGGATTTAGAGTGCCCGCGGCTCATGGAGCTTGCTGCTCACCGCCCCTTTAGCAGGACCCCCTCAATGACCTGGGGCCCTGGGGCGGGAGAATGATGATTTCGGGAGGGGAGGGGGGGCGGGTTGTTCCCAGTTTAAAGCCCTCTGACCGCACACGCTGATGGCCTGAGCAGCCATGCCCGCGATCAGCGGTGACTGCACATGCCCAGGGGGGGGGGGATCTATCGCGCCAACAGGCAGAGCACTCTGTGGTGTAGATAACACACGCCCCGTAAGGGCACTGCGATGTGGCATGCTGCCAATGCCTGATCTCCCTGCATGCAGGAGAAAACAGCGAACGGTGGGTTGCAGGGCCAACAGAGTACGCACACACTAGACACACTTTTCCAAAGCACTTTAGAGCCTGCAGTTTCGGTCAAGCGAAGCTTCTTTAAAGCTCACAAAAGTAAAATGGCGTTCACTGGAAAACGGGGTCTCTGGGTTCTAGAAAAGTTTGAAACCCCCCACAGCATTTGGCCTTCCACAAGCCACATGCTGCTCGAACTTTTCAGGAGCCACTGCTACTAGTTTAGTAGCCGATCTTCGACCATTGTGGTTCTCCTACCATTGCCAATTGCACACAAAACAGCTTAGAACGCTCCACGTACTAAGACTTACAACTGTACAAACATCCTACTCGGTTGGGACCTTCTGGTGGGTCATTGTTCTTGACTAGTCCAACGGACCTGTGCTTCTTTACGTGTTGGTGCATTGGCATCTTGGGCCTTTCTTCATCTAGAATACACCAACTCTTACAAGGCTCTGTGCATGACGACTGAAAAACATGCAACTGTAGCTTGAGATTGCATCCTATTTAAACTGCGCAGACCATGTAGATCAAAAGCGTCTTTTGGAGAAAGAAAACACTGTACACTGTGCACAAACAAGCTGCCTCACGGCTTGCACTGCTTGCAAGCCTTCAATCCCAACAGCTCTGCCTGGCGACGAGTCAGGCCAAGAAGCTTATGTGCCTCCACGCGACGAGCACGGCTCACCATGCCACACTGAGTGCTATGGTAGCACTCCCCATTGCCGATCCTGAAGACATCCTTTCCATCTCCAGTTGCTGCAGCACAACCTGCATCTGCCACAGCTGTAGCGGATGTTCCCATTGACGTCGAAGAGGAGGTTCCTGTGTCCTGCACCCCCGCCGCTGCCGTAGCCGAAGAGGAAGTTGGGACCACAATCTCCTGGTTACTCTCATTGCCATTTAAGGACAAACTCAAAGCCGGAACTCGAGACGAATTTCCTGTGCTCGCACTGGCCGTGCCATCTTGCTCCACTTCAATGGTGATTGTGTATTTTACTCCATCAGCAACACACATGACCATGAGCACCACAAAGAACATGCTGTAGCGCTTCTTGTTGACAGCCACGCTGCTGATGAAAAGGTAGACGAAGTAGCTAAGGATCACCACGAGCATCAGCCATCCAATCATGCCGAAGACGTACGCATTGAGGAACACCTTGAGCGAAGCCATATCCATTCCCTGGAGCGCCTCAACCTTCAACGCATCCGACGGCTCAGCCAACAGCATTGCCATGACCATGCGAATTGCTAGCCTACCACTCTTTGTCCTAAAACCCTGCTGAATGCCCGACTGAATCATGTGAGCTCTGATGTCGTCAATGCCTGCAAAAATCTTGGTGTCAAAGTTGATGAACCCCATTAGCCCGAGAAGAAGCTGTTGTCTCCTCTTTGGATGCGCTTTTGTCCCCATGTCGGAAGGGCATAGTTTTGTACCTATTGGTTTCTCTGCAATGCGGCCGAGACAATATTCACGTTGGAGCCATAAATACGCCAGGTCTACATGCCGAAGGCGTCCGCTGCCCTGCTTAGCAATTATGGCCCTGGCCCCACTATTGTCGGTCCTGTGCACCAAGGTCACCGGGTGTCCAGTGATTGCCTCCAGCAAGGCCTTTACGAACAAGCCGTCGCAGCATCCCATCAGCGAAGCCATGTATTCTGCCTCACAACTTGAGAGGGCTAGACTTTGCTGCAACTTCGTAACCACATGCACGCAGTTACCGTCCAAATACATTGCATAGCAACTCACACTCTTGCGCGAGAAATGGGTGGATGCCCAATCAGCATCCGTGATCACCTCTAAAAGATGGCCCTTCTTGAAATCAGCCTCAGAAACTCTAGAGATCGACTCTTGCTCATCATTGTCCAGGTTTCGCATCCGCTGCTCGAAGGTCATACCTGGGCTGGTGCGGCTTAACTTCAAGACATAGTTCTCTCGGCCCTTCATGTACTTCCCCACGTGTCTCATCAGATTGAGGTCATACTCTGTGGGACATGAGCACCTGGAACCCAACATGCGGACTGCGAAGTGAACTTCGGGGTAGTCACCACACATGTAAAGGAGGAGTCCTAGCCCACTTCGATATACATTGTAATCTTCACCTTGCAGTTCGGGATCAATACGTGGTCGGCTCAGCGATGAAGGGAGCGGCGTAGGCTTCGGACTTGCCCTGTCCAACTTCAAGAGCTCACAAAGCTTGGTCACGTATTTCTCTTCAGGGACTACCACGATACCTGAACCATCACCCTTGTAGAGCCGCTTCAAGAATCTACATTCACCGCCATCAAGATGAACAGGACCTTCTATCTTGATCTTTAAGCCTTTTGCTTTCATTGCGTCCAACAACTCCTGAGCTCTATGATCACCCCCCACAAGCTGTAGGTCATCTACATGACTGTTGCATGCCAACTTTCCCGTTTCATAGAAGACAGCGGGAGCTCCACTGAAAGCTTGCATTCGATTCCCTTCCATGACATCCTTCAAGTGAAGATACCACCCTCGAGCTGCATCTCGTTGACCCGGCAAGCTGAACAACAGCTCCATGTACACACCATCGTTCGTGACCACATAAGTTGGTGTTGTTTGAGCTACTTGCAAATATGCGTCGCTCACGTCAACGCTGTAGAGAACTAAGTTCTCCCCACTCACGCAGAGACCTGCAAAGACCCTCTGGACGACAGCCATTGATGCCGGGGCATACAAATGCTCAAGCTCGGGTTCTAAGAATCTGTATTCTTTTGCTACCAGCCTCGATCGGCGTATCCAGCAATTTCCCCTGAATCGCCAATCTCGCACAAAACGGGATTGCAACTTCTTCATGCCCCCAGTGCCTGAACTGCCCTCTGCGCTGCTTCCAATCTTCCGCAGAACTCCCATCGTCAACAAGCGCTTGGTCTCCACCTTATCCATCGCCTCATCAAGGCGCTCAAGGGTCTCAAAGGGAAGCTCGGGAGGTCCATCTTCGTATCGTCTATCTGCCCACGCCAGGGCTGCACGATGAGCTTCATCGGGTTGATTGAGGTCTTCGTCTTTTCGTGGAGGTTCTTCGGGGCTCAGGTCTAAGGTCGTTTCGGGAAGCTCCTCAGGTTCATGTCCACATGGCAGATCCTCACGAACTCTCCTCATGAAGAACTCTCCCGACTCTTCGACGGTAACATGTCCGATCATTGCATCACTCATCACAGCATCAGGCACAAGCTCTGCTGAACTCGTCCCATCGGTTGACATCGCCCCGACCCCCCCAGACACGGACTCCGATGAAGGTGGGTCACTTGCAGCCTCATCTGGTCCTGGGCCTTCAGGTGCCTCGGGCTCTATCAAAGCTGGCGCTCTGAACCTGGGTGCTCTCTCTCGTCTGGCTGGCAAAACATCCAAGGAAGCATTCCATGGAACACCTTTGGCACTCAAGATCAACTCACTCTCAAAGCCCAAAGAGCCCTTTCGAATTGTTCTGGAATAGTGCACTCCGAAGCTGTCCGCAACGATGTTCAAGTTACCCAACGTTGACTTCCCAAGGAAAATGCAACGCTTCCAGCCACTACCTTTGGCGCCACTCGAAGGAAGGTACTGCGCGAACACGGAACTGCCAAAGGCGCATAATTTGCCTGAGTACGCTCTACTATGCACTAGTTCAAAGGCTGTCATTCCGTCTCTTTGCACATGGAATCGGCTGTAAAGGAAAGCACTGTGTCGGAACGCCCAAACATAGACAGGATGTCCACTTCCTATCCGGACGCCCGTTCGCTCCTCTATGGTGCGCAACAAAGTCTTTGCCAACCCTCGAACGATGCCAATGAACCTCTCAGCTTTTAAGCCATGGTGTAGTCTGGATTCAGGCACAGCATACTCCACTTTCGTTGCTAACCCTAGCCGGGTCCTTGCATCCACGATGGCCTTCCCGAAAGCTTTCATTGCCGGTTCACTGTCCATTCGGACCGTCAGGTTGGTGTGGCCAAGCAAAGACGCCAACTTGATTGCCTCGTCCACTGCAGTCCTTACATGCTCTGTACTCTTCGACTCAACTGGCACACACTGCACGAAATTTGTTTGCTCATCTACCATCACGAGGTGAACTGCCATGGGATGTTCAGGTGCGCCAGGCTGAGACTCTGTACGATTAAACATAAAATCACAATGGATCACACCGTTCTCCTTTGGGGCGCTGGTTCCATGGTTATCTTCTCTGCTTCGGGACGCTACACATGCATTGCACCACGGCATCCTCGGGCAGTGGGTTATCTCGTGCAGCGCCACCGTTTCTGCATCTGGCTGTTGGCTGCCAGATTCAATCTGTGGGTCTCGGCGATATGCTTCCAGAACCGCATCAGATGCTTGAACTGCACCCCTAAGCTGATTATCTGCAACTGTACTCTGAAGCCTTCCCCACAGAGTTGTTTTCTTACCATTCTTGCTCACTCGAAGGTACTGACACGCTGCCCTCAACAACCGAAGCGAAGATTCTTCAGTCAGCTCCACCCCATTGATCACCAGAGTTGCCTGCCCTCCAGCTGCCAAGTGAACTTCAGGAGCAACTTGTGCGCCAAGGACTTCCGGTCCTCCGCCCCGTTGTCCATCTACCTGAGCTGGATTTTCATCTGTGTCTCTTGAGCTTAAATCCGAAGTTGGTGCAGCAGCAGGTTGGTGGGGCGCAACTTGGATGTTCTGATCCTCGATCACCTTCCCTATGCTTCGCGGCTCAACAGGCTGGGCACTAAGAATGGTGACGATCTTGGTCTTGGGTCTGTGCGTGTTCAGGATCTTTCGGTCTTCCCAATACTCACCAGATTCGAAAACTTCATAGCGACGATCACCCTCAGAAATCAAGGTTGTCCTAAACGGCCATTGTTGCGATGGAAACACCAGAGTGGGATCCACCGTGCAGTCACTGTCGGTACTCACATGCATCGGCCCCCCATCCGGTGAGAGGCTCCAACCTTGAATCTCAGTTCCCGATTCCAGCAGCTCTGAGATCTCCACAATCATGCGAACATCTGCTGTCGACTGCTCAACTCTGTAGATCTTCATGTTAGCTGCAAGGGAGTTCTTGGACATGTGGACTGGGAAGCTCTTGTCACCCTTACTTAGTTGCAACTGCCCATCGACTGCTCCCAAATTCCAGTGATCTCGAATCAGCTTCCCCAGACTTAACAGCGGCTGCCTCACTTGCGCAACCACGACCCTGTCTCTGAAGAAAAGCCGCTGGCCTCCAGCAGCCTCGACCTCAAAGATCACATTCTGTCGCTGAGTCGCCATCGGGATGTCATTACCTTGGGCATCACGAATTCGGGTGTTCTGGGCTGCTGCTTCTCCTACCGTACTGTGGGTCAGCGGAATGACCGTTACGTCGGCCCCGGAATCCAAGATCACTTGCTCAAACTCTGGCGTGGATTGTTCACAAACAACTCGCACATGGTCAATGCTCTCAGTCTCAGAATCACTCTGGGCCATGTCAAACACAAGGGTGCTAGTGGATCGAAGTTCAGACTCAAATGCACTCCCAGGACACAGCTCAACAACTCTGATCTCCCAGTCGTAGTCGCCGTCGTCGTTCCATTCATCCTCGCAACCAAGGTCAAAGAACTCACATGTCGGAACTTGGGGTGTGTCAAAGATCACCAAGTTGATGTCTTCAGGGACTTCGTGAACCACTTCAAGACGACGCACATTCGGGGCTGCTCCTGGGGACTTCTCGCGCTAGCGGAAGACGAACTTACGGAGGAGGAGGCAGAGGAAGGAACGGCGGTAGAGGAATCATCTGTCTGCTGAACCTGCTGAACACGACTACCTGCTTTGCAATCGGCTTGCACATGCCCCATGCGACCACAATTGAAGCATGGACCAACTTGACGCTTGCCTTTGCCCTTGCCTCCTTTCTTGCCACCATCATTCTTGAAATAATCGTCTTTGCCCTTTCCTTTGTCCTTTCCTCCGAAGCCTTTGCCCTTGCCCTTGTTGTTGTAGTTGCTGTAGCCACCACCCTTGTTCCAAGGCTGGCTGCCTTTGCCTTTCCCCCACTGCCCCCCATGCTCCCATTTCTTGTACTTGTCCTTGCCACCCTTCGAGCCTTTGGGACCTCCTTTTTCCACACGGTCCACATCCATGGGCACGATTTCTGAGGTGTTCAAGAACTTGGAGTCTTTATCGATTCCTACCGACCTCAGCACATGTTCAGAAGACCACCCTGCAGTAGTTCGCTCGTACTGAAGAAGCCTAGTGCGAAGGCGCTCGTAGGTCATGGTCTCATCCAAGTTCAACTCCAGGTACTTCTTGATGTCACTGGGAAGTCCTGCTAGAAGGGTACTGATCTTAAGGTTGTCGTCGTAGGGGTGTGGGGCAACCTTCTCATACTCAAGGAGGAGTCTTTCGAAAGCCAACGTGTAGTCCAACAAGCTGCCACCCTCTTTGTAAGGTGGGAATTTCACAAGAGCCTGGGCCAAGGCAAGTGCCCTCGGTCTGCTAGACGGTTGAAGCTCATCCACTAACGATCTCCACACTCTAAACCCATCTCCGTCGGTGACTGAACGAAGCATGCGAAGAGGTCGATTACGAAGATAAGTCGCCAGTATGGCGTAAAGCCTGATGCTTCGAGCTTTGGTTCCTGCTTCGTAGTCCTCGAAGGCAACGATCAGCGTGGCAGTTTCCACTTTCTTGAGGTCGTCCCTAAACGCCTCGTCTTGTACTGAGAGCCAATTTTTAAAGCAAAATGACCATTCCGGCCATCCCGCCAGCTCCTCGTCCATATTCTTAGGAGCAAACACTTCTGGAGCTTTAACAAAGCGAGATTCTCGAACAACTGCCTGCGTCTGCTGAGCATTAGTCGAAGCTGCCAACAAGGAGACAGCTTGGGCAAGCTGCTGCAACACTGCAGTAGGATCCAAGGCTGCACCTCCTACAGAGGATTCAGCGGGCTGACCGCCCGGACTGGCTGCCCCTGGCTGGGGTCCTTGGTCACCCTGGGGCTGCATGGCTCAAGGCTCTGGTACTTGAACTTCTGCTGAATCGCTTTCTCCAGCAAGGCCTCAAAGAACACAAAGGCCAGTAGGTCGCCAGCTGCCACCGACAGCTGCTTCAAGCTGCAACGCCCGCAAGCGCCACGGAGGAGGACTATGCCTCCCTCAAGAGGTTGGGCTCAACTACCTAGGGGCACTACAGGAAACACACACAGAGGCTCGGGTCCTGGCCTCACCTGGGATTGGTTCCTGTCCCTGGAGCTGCTACCCTCGGGTGCGGCAGCTCCGCTACCACAACAGAGTACGCACACACTAGACACACTTTTCCAAAGCACTTTAGAGCCTGCAGTTTCGGTCAAGCGAAGCTTCTTTAAAGCTCACAAAAGTAAAATGGCGTTCACTGGAAAACGGGGTCTCTGGGTTCTAGAAAAGTTTGAAAAGGGCGAAACAAATTGAGTTGCTGTCTCTCAAAAAGGCAGAGTGATCCAGGCGCAGCAGATGTTGCACTTCCGGCGGGAAGCATTGGCACCAACCGGCTGCATCCATTTCAGCAGGGCGGATGACGCCTGCTTGCAACTGCCTGGTCATCGCGATATCACTAGTCCCTAGAGTGGCCAGTGCAGTTAGCTGTCCTCGCTTGGCAAAAAAGACCTGGAGCAAGTGCGATCCCGCAGGGATCGTGTAAGGTTGACACGCATAGGACTCCATGGCTGCAATCACCGAACGTGGCCTAACATGCAGTCAAGAGTGGCAACCTAGACAGTTTCAAGAAACGCAGTTGGGCAACAATCAGCACCGGAGGCAACACCAATCACAGAAACGGAAACAAAACAACAAGAAAGAGTCATGGCATGCCAGCAACAAAAAATCTAACCACCTCCATTTTGAGCCAATGCGAGCCCAGACACACATACCGGAAGAGCCCTCGAATGCAAGCATACCTCGAATGGCGGTTTGTTTGTGGCGGCAACGCAGGTGCCAGCGAGCGTAATCAATTGAAGGAAAAAGAAAGGCAACCTCTACCCTGCCCATACGACTACTCTGGAAGCGCAATATGGTCCGCCAGTAGCCAATCAGGATCACTCAGCAATGCAGGCCACACCACATGCTCCGGGTCCTTGCCGATAACAACCTGGCGGATCGTGAGGCCGGGAGCCCACGGGTACTGCGTGCGTCCGTAGCCCTTGAAGACGGTGAAACGCGAGTCTTCAGAGAGGCACTCAGTTACCGGGGACACCCGATGGTTGCCGCGCACCGAGTGGCCGTGCCGAAGGTTGCGTTGGAAGGTTTCCACATCATGGCGTCCGCCATAAACCAGGATTTGTGTGGCATCACTGGTCGGAGCCGGTAACAAGGAGGGAAGACGCACTGGGCCCATACACACGCAAGCCCGAAAGCTCGCCGGGGTACTGCAATCTGGTAGGCAATGGTCCCTCCAGAGCCCAAGCCAATAAGGTACGTCGGCAAGGAGATGTGAGGGCTCACATCACTTTTGGCAGCCTGCAAGAGCGCTAAGATCTCCATGGTATACACAGCTTTCGTCCAGGCGGCTCCATCAGGTAGCATCCAGGCGGGCGGAGAGCCTGCCTGCCCTGCCACAGGCCAAGCACAGGCGATGATGGCCCTTTTGAAGGCCAAGTTACTCCACAGGTGTTCGATGGCTCCTTGCCAGGGCAGCGGGTGCATATTCTCCACGTAGAAGTGCCCACAACCTGGGAGAAGCAGCACCACCGCATTGGCATCTCCAGAGTCATCATTCGGCCGAGATACCACAAAGGGGAGGGTCGCATTGCCATGACTCACTGTGATCCAAGTATTGTCTCGTCCCGCGATGAGCGGTGGGGCAACCAGAGTGGGCGGCTGCTGGGTCTCAAAGCCGAGGGGTTCTTGCAGTGCCATGGCACAGAAACGGCAACCTACCCGGTCGGAAGGGGCAGAGGCGAGGAAGACTGGGCAGCCTTACCTGAGCCATGAAGTCCAGCGCGAAGCCATTGCACACGTCAGCCAACTTGCTCACGCCGCTTCCTGACCGTCTGCCCATGCTAAGGGAGGCTGCAACTACAGTGAAGATGCAATCAATGCTCGCAACTCACTAGATCAAGCAAGACAACATCGCTTCTCTACTTCATCACCCTTTGTCTGTGGAGGAGGGAAACGCAGGAAGGTCGCGCTGCCATTTGTTCCATCTTCGCACAAAATTCGGGGCTAAGAGTCACTACCCGAATGCCCATCATCCTCGAGCATATGCATGGTCTCCTCATCTAGATGCTCAAGGATGTCAGTAGCAATGCGTTCATCAAGGAAACACGCTACCCACTCCAGGATGATGGCATGATCGTGGGGAACTGCATCAGACACTGCCTGCAAGAGCACATCAACTTTATCAGCGGTGAAACGCCACGCCAGTAAAAGGTGCTGCTCCAAATGCGCCCTGATCAGGTAGAGGGGATAATCCGCCTGGCTGTGCACGATGATGGGCCTTGCCCAGGCCAAAGCGGCGTTCTGTTGCGGTCCGGGCGGGCGCCTAAACATGGCCAGTAGTGCCCCGTATTCCTTGGCCAATGCATTTTGCAAATCTTGTGAGAGGTCCCGTAGGTGATGTGCTAGCCAGGCTAGATGACCACCTACTGAGTGCGCAAGTTCGGCTGCTGCTACAGCAGCGACGGCCCGTTGGGTAGGGAGTCCTTGGGCCGCCAAGGTGTCGCGGATTCCCTGCACGAGCCCAACAAGACCGGCCTACTGTGCTACTGATGTAGTAAAGGGGCGCCAGTCCAAAAAAAAAAAGGCCCAGGCCCGTTCTTGCCTGTCGATGTAAGCGTGCCTGCCAGCAGCAGGGAGAGAAATCGCAACCTGAAATCTGTGAAGTTTTGGGACCTGCAGCAGCACTGAGAGAAATCGTGAACCTAAAGCCTCTGGGTTCCCTGGACCCGGGAGTCCCAGTTGCAAGGAAGGTGCATTTGCTGGCCAAGTTGCCACCTTTGTCCTTGTTGAGGTTGGACTGGAATTTGGCTGCGTGCTCAAATGCACAATGTGCTGTTCGCCTTATACACAAGGAGAGTGGTATCTTTTCGATTCCACCCAACTAGGCGCTGAACTCTTCCCGCTACTCTTGGGAGCGACGGCCTTTCGACTTGATCTGAATTTGGTACAAGTCCAAGTGGTTGTCCATGGACTGACTTTTGCTGTCCCTTTAGTCAGTTTTCTCGTTGATTGGCCAGTCGGCACGGTATTTGTTGCAGTTGCGTTCCCTTCGTTTGAGCAAATGGTGGAGGCGCATCCGGTTCTGGTGGGGTCCTACCATAGTAGGCGCCTATGTCTAATCAATCCGCCTGATGAGCCTCCCCCCTCAATCTGATGATCGACCCCATGTTGCCAGTCCTGATGCTGCAAATATTAATTGCGCAACACATGCGGCAACGGAGTGGTTACCTCGAGAATCGGGCTTTTGTGCTTTGTGATGAACAGGGCTTTGTAGCTGACGTCTGCACTAAAATTCAAACCGCCTTCCCTCCCAATGCGAGAGTGCTCCTCAAGTACAAGTGCCTCACCTTTGAAGGTCATCTGTTCAGGTTGGTGTCCGCCTCGTCCAGCTTGCCCTGATTCTGGGGTTAGGTGTTCTGCAGTCCACTGCTACGCACTCTTCCTTGTTGCATTTTGGCTTACTGCAGTCTGCTTGGTAGCTCCCTGCCCTGTTAGGGATTGTCTCCTAGGATTCACATCGACAAGTGGCTAACGCCATACTTGCGGACCATTGCCCTCTAGCCTTGCCTCCAGTATGTATGCAGAGGACGATAGCCTTGAGAGCGACCCTAGGCAGCTTGAGTACGCCCGTGCTCTTGCTCTGCCACAGGCCCTTTCCTTGGATC